ATAATGTGCATTAGACAATTCACAAAGCAGCATACAGAGAACGTAAATATGTAGTGCTAAACATGAAACTGTGAAAGCAAGTAGCTCTAAGGGATTTCACAAAAACTTCAGGATTCAATGAAGTCGTCCAGCTTGCCAGCCTTGTCAAGCAAAAAGGTTAATGACTCCTTCACAGAAGCTAACTCGTTCTTGATGGACTCAAGCTGAGCTTCAAGACTGAAAGCTTGACCTTTGGTCTCCTCAACCCTCCTCTTAATGTCTTCTCCATCACCACATTCCTCAAGGCATTTATACACGTAACTGAGCCATGAAGCATCAAAACCAACCACTTCTAAGATTCTGCAACACTTTTTGATGTGGTTCCTATCATCTTCTGTGAAGTGGCCTCTTCGAGTGGTCCTCAAAATGCGAGTCACTTCAGCAAATAAGGAAAAAGAGGAGGAAGCAAACACTCTTTGTCGCTTTGTGTTGAGCCAATCAAGCACTTGAGGATGACGCTTCACCCCAGCCTCCAAATATGGCATGTTTTGTTCAAGAATGTCAATCATTTCCGTGTAGTTTGTATAAATGTTTGATTTCTGTAGTGGTGAAATCATAGGTTCTGAAGCTTGTGAAGGTGACGCATCAATAGCTGAATTAACAAAACAAACATGAAATAAAATAGGTTGAGTCGAGTTTTGAAAAACAAGTCTTGTGAAATGCACTATTTATTGCCCAATCATCAATTTATTTCGAATCTTGCAGAATGAAATCAACACCTGCTTCAGGAATCATGGTTGAGTTTGATACATCTTGAGTAGCTGGAACTGAAGACTTTTTGATGGCGTCGCCTATCTTTTGAGTCTCACTATGCGAATCACATGGTTCTTCTGGTAGATTTTTATAAAAACGTCTGTCATGAGCTAGTTCATCCAAAGAATGCTAACCAAAACAAACAAAAATACAAAACAGGATAGGAACCTGCGCTTTGTGCTGTAGTGAGTTTCTCTGCATCGTGGTCAGTTTGAATTAAGGGTTTTTCCATGGTGTCATGAATCTCTTGAGTTCCAGTAGCCAAAAAAAGGAAATTTCATTCATTATTTAACTAAGCAACATTATTATATCAAAGATATATCCATCAAAGCAAGGCTAGAACCTATGTCTTGTATCGCAGCTGGTCTTTGTGCTTCTTGAGCAGTTTGAATTAAGGGCTTCTCAACAATTTCATTCATCTCTGGAGTCAAAAGGCCAAATAATAAGTTTAGCCCCTCTTTTCTGGTATATTTAAGTTGGCATAATGGAAGTTTATGATAGCTAATTGAGCAAAACAGTACTGCAATGATGCCATTTGACACATGAAACTCGTCTGAGGTCATTTATGACAAATTTAAGATAACAAAATAAGATCAATAGTTACCTTCCATATTGTGGTAGGACTCAATATGTTTTTGAGGAGGCTGAACTAAGGGCATCTGATCAATTGTCTCATGTGTCCCTGTTACTGAATAAAAACGTTAAAAAAAAAAAAAAGTGCAAGGACTTACAATGACCCAATACATTTACAACATAAAAAAGCTCCTCCGTCTAAAAAGAATCTAAAATATTGAAGAGCTTGTGGCCAGGGTGAACGAATCTTTACGAGACTAAATATCCAAGTCACATGGTTCTTTCAAAATATTTCTCACATGATAAGAATTCAGACATATTCATTAAGGTTATGAGTACAACAAAATCAATCCATGAATCCTGAAATGCACTAGAAATTGGTGAATTTAGTGGTTATAACCAACGGCTTTTTATGACTTCACATATGTATTTGTTGAGTCCTAATACTAAGTGAATAAATAAAATAGATATGGTGTAAATTTGTCCCAAAAGTTTTCACCTAAAACCATTGAATATCCATAAGTCTTTTGAGGAGTAATGTTGCCCTAGAAGTATAAAAAATGATAACATTGCTTCTCACAACTTTCGAGGCAAATTTACACCTTATCTTCAGGAAAAAAACAAAACATTAAATTTAAAATATTTTTCATGAGACTTTACCAAAATAAAAATAAGTTCCTTCCCTCTACATGTGAAAGAAATGTAACTTCCTCTGTTTTGAGCAATAATGAAGGCAAATATCTTATTAGGCAAATTCTCACCAAATGAGAATTTTAAGCGAGCAATTCCCCTGTAATTGATGTTATTTCCCATTATAGCAAGTAAGAATCATTTCTCCAAATAAATAAATAAAATTAAGCTATCATCAGTGTAATAAAAATGTGTTCTGGAACTTTTTGTAGAAGAAAATGGGTGGTCCTGATGATCAAATTTTTACTGTATATCAATTTATATGTAAGAAAGTCAGAAAAAATTTAATTAGCCAAGTACCATAATTAACATGCATTACCCTGAAAGAAAGCAATGTAGATAATCTGTCGCATGTTAAAAGCAATACCAGTACCTGCATCATAAACTGCTGTGGGGCTAAGCGCAATTTTAGTAGCTTCAACCAATGGCCTTTCAATGTTCTCACCAATCTCTTGAGTCCCCTCAGCTAAACCTATTAGTTTTAAAAATGCCAGAGTAGACACAAATGATACAACATTTTAACGAAATAAAATTATATTACTTCTGAAAACTGCAAAACAGACCCAAACAAAACAAAAAAAAACATTACTTTCCCTATTGTTGACAGTTGTGGATTGCTTTGACAGATTCTTGCTAGTCTGAGTCTCTGTATCGTGTGATTCTTCTAGTAGTTTTCAATTCCAATAATAGCATACTAGAATCATTAATTAATATAAAAACGCAGAGCATTGTTTCCGGTAACTTAAACAAAGCTCCTCTCAATGGCTTCATGCATTCCTTGAATCTAAATAGCTAAATAGAGAAGTAAAGAATGAAATACGATTGTTCGCAAAATATAATGATGTGCCTTCCTTTCAAATAAACAAAAATATGAGCACTGTAACAAGGTTTAAACCTACATCAGCTTTTGTAAGACTTCACATGATTTAAGCAGTTGGAACTGAGGGTTGCTAGATGATTTTTACTCATCTTGTGAGTGTCAATAACTATTAATGAGAAATTTAATATAGAATGACATAAGGTTTTAGAAAATATAATAAGAAATTTCTTCCTTCTTACAAGAGCAAGAAATGCATTATGTTCCTTTGCGGCTGATGATAAAGGTGGTGATTTTATTAAACAATTCAGCACCATGAGAACTTTTTTGGTCATATCAATTATTTTTAGATGATTTCAGATTATAAAATCAGAATTCAAAGTGTTTCACCAAAAAAAAAAAGAACATCAATGAAGCCAAAAAAATTAGATAACTAAGTGTCACTAAGCATTCCATTAAACAAAAAGAATTAGTCACTATATTTGCCCAAGGATAGTGACGGTGATATTAAAAAAAAAAAAACTAAGACACTCAAATCTGTAAAAGAAATGAAGGCCAAAGTTAGAGAAATATCTGACTATTTATGGCAAATAGAAGAATGCAAGACAATCTCTGATTCTCTATACCTGTATCTTGATTTGTAGAAGGGCTGGAGGCATTCTGAGCAACCTGAGCTAGAGGCGTCTCAATACCTGACGAGGCTTTCTCATTCTGCTCTTTGTCATGAGATTGACTTGGAAGTTTGTGTGTTTCTTGCTTCCCAGTTTCTGTAATCTGATTAGACTTTGATTGTCCTACTTGCTCCTCGGAGCTTGATGTTCCCGTAGTATTTGCAGTCATTTCATGAGTTCGACTACTTTCTGTAATATCACTTGAAGAGTCCGTATAGCTCCCTTCTTCTCTAATTGCCTAATTAAGGTATGCATAAAACACATTATATGTTGACAGTAACACGCATTTAGATTTAACAAAAGACATTATACAATTATAACAACAAGTAAAGATATTGTCACAGTGATTTTTTTAGAAAAACTTTTATGTATATAGGAAAAAGTTTAGTCAAATCAAAACATACCATATCCGCGAACACCTTCTTTATGGTCCTATTTAGATCACCTTCCCAATACACTTTACCATCTTCTTTGTCTAATGATATCTTTTGAAGCTTGGGGGTGCTTGTGTCTCTCTCAGAGAAGATCCTCATTCCTGGGCATTGCTTAACAACAACGTTCACCAACAATGGAAGGTTCAGCACGCAATTACTAGAGCAAAACATTTTGTTCATTGGCAGACACTCAAGCTCCAAAATTTGTAAGCTGCTGAATGCAATTTCATCTTGAGACCCCTCCCTCTCTTCTGCCGCCACAATTTGCTCAAGTGAATTGCAGTTCTTTATTTTCATTGTTGATAATTTGACCAGACTTCTTGCGGTTGATGAGGTAATCAAGTGAATCAATCCATTGCATTTTTCCACTTCCAAATATGTCAACCGACTAAAAGTTACAGAGGAAGGCACTAAGTGTTTCAATTTGGAACATTGATCCACATATAAGTTTTCAAGTACCTCAAGAACTGGGTCTATTTGAAATCCTTCTTTACATATATGCTGGAGTTCATGTAAATCACCTAGTGTCAAATCTTTAAGTCGTGTTCTAGTTCTAAATTTTCCTTTGTGATCTATAGGCATTTCTTCTTGGAATACCTCCTTGAAAGAACTCCCTTCAACAAGTAGCCCATCAAGAGTGGTGATGTGTTGGAGAAACCAGTACGGAAAAATAATATGGTCATCATAAAAGTTTACCAAACAAAGAAATTTGAGTTTGCTGAATTGTTCGCCTGAAAATTGCCCTCGTAATATCAAGCTTGCATCCTCACTATTTAGTGCCAAGCTCTCCAAGTTGCAAATCACCTATGTTCAGCATAGATAGAAATCGTTGATCAACTATTTTGTACACAGCAACATAAAAGAAATAAAATAGTGAGGCAGGAAGAAAATGATGAATAGCATAAATAATCAAACCTGATTTTTTTTTTGCACCATATAGAAAATTATCATGAAACGGGGCATGCATTGAGATATATTTATGGTGTCCGAACAAATTAAGTTTTTTTTTCCTAATAATTATTGCTATACCTCTTCAAGTGTGAAAAGAGACTGCTGCATTGAGATGTCAAAGAGTCTTTCTTGGCCACTTGTACTTTGAGTCTTGAAGAGCTTCAATTTTACACAAAGGCGGACATCTAATTCGCTTAATACTGGACATCGTACACTATGACTTCCAGCAAAAAATCCCTCCAGTTCATATAAACGCCAAAGCACCAATGAGGTCAAGTGATTAAACTCAAATTTAATAGGACTGTCCATGAGGCCTTCTTTGCGTGAAACAATTACTTTCATCCTCCCTGCATACTTTATGGTAATACGTTCAAGTCGAGTAGCTTGCATTGCAATGGAGAGTGGAAAAAGGTATTCCACGGTCTCACAGTGTTCAACACACACAAGCTGCAAATTGGGAAAACGTACCTGCCATTTATTTGAATAAGGCAAGTCAAGACATGATATGTCATGAAACATGACCAATTGTGATAATTCAGTAATACTAACTTGACCTGCGAATGATGAATCAAGAAATTAAATCTTAAAATCTTAAAATATGTACAACAACGCGCAGCAAGATTGTTATGATTTATAAATCTCCCTTGTTTAGCAAGCTTCAATTATTCTGGCGTAAAAAAAAAAGGTTCCGATTGTCTAGGAAGTCTTTAAAAATTAGTGGCTAAAGTATATGTTTGGCGTTTTATATTTATACCATGTTTTATTCTCTTTTTTTTTTTTTTTGAGCTGAATAGTGCTATATTTTTATTTCAGAATCAAGTAAAAAGGCTTACAAACACCAAAAGAACTAACAAGATAGAAAAGAAAAGAATAAAGCAAAGGCAACATATTAACCAAAAAACAAAACCAACACAACCAACCAAAGAAAAATCACACAGCAGGCAACGGCCAAGACACGGAAAAAGCAGCAGCACAACCAATTCCTATTCTTTCTCCCACATCAGCAACCGAAGACAGTTCAGCACCACGGAGTTCTTTCTGCAGAAAGGTCAACAAGGAGGATGGTGGCCAACTCAGCCATCCATTTGGTACCATACCTCCCATAGCACAAGCTGCCATGTGATCTGCAGCTTCATTCCCTAATCTGGCCACCAAGGACACACCAATTCCTCAAAGAACCTCTCAACGTGTTTTATTATAGTCTTTTAAGTTTACAAAGTGTATTTTTAATCCCTCAATCTTAACATCTTTAGTTTCACTTAATGGAAAGTGTTGATTCATTAAACTAAGCGATGACTACATAATTAAACACCAACAAAAATGCCAGGATTTTAATGTTTTTAATATAATATTATTGTATATTGTCAAAAAGTAATATTTTTATATTTAAATTAAAATTAACCAGCCAAAAACCATAAAAATATTATGTTTTCCAACATAAAATATTAAATTTTTGCCTCATTTATTTTTATTTTTATTTTAATTTAAAAATATTAATTGTTTTTGAAATAAAAATATTAGATTAAAAATATTAAAATGTAGGTATGTTCTGTCAACATTTAATTTTACAGTCTTCACTTAAGTTTGATGGATCAACATTTATTGATGGATCAGCATTTTCCGTTAAATTAAATAAAGGGTTAACGTGTAAATTTTCCTGCAAGTTTTTACTCAAGATTGTGATATACTCACAAGTTTTTTTAGGTATAAATTTGCCTTAAAAGTTTCAAATAGTAGAATATTACCCCTTTTTATTACAACATTAACGTTGACCGTTAAAATAGTGATGTGATCGTTAACATTTTTAACTATAGGTAGTAATATTATTACAATTTTAAACTTTTGGGACAAATTTAAATACAAAAAAACTCACCAGAAAGAAAATCTTTAGAGCAAATTTGTACCTTAATCCTAAAACTAATGGCGTTAAGATTGTTGAACTACAAATGCATTTTATAAACTTAAGAGACCAAAAAAAACCTAATGTAAACATAAAGGAGAAACATATAGTTTAGCCAAATTAAAACAAATAAAAGTTTTTATTTAATATGCGTGTCTTAAATAAAATTTGAGCAATATTTTTTACTTTTTTTTCCATCTCACATGAATCAAAACAGAATATTTATGAATACAATATGGGGGGAAAAAAGAAACAAAAGCATATATACTGCATATAGAAGCATTAAGGCTAGGAAGAACTTAGAAGGAACCAAGGCTACGAAACGAGGCAATGAATTCAGCACTAGAAAAAACGTACAATTATTATTTCTCACACACATACACACACCAAATCCTTGTGGCTAACACTATATTATCATATTTTTATTGGATCGTCTGAATCTGCCCCTTTTTTTTTAATTGAGTAAATATGATAAAAATAAATATTAAACCTATGCTACATATGTTCAAAACATAACGCAAACTATAGTTAAGCAGCAAGTCTCATATCATACCTCTTGAATGGAACATGCTGGATGGTGATGCTGGATATGACCTTCTGTTGTTTCTCTAAAACTGACAGTTTCTTGGAAGTTCTGTTTCCATATGTGTTTGAGCTTAAGTAGACTAGAGAAAGTTATTCTCTTCAGTGGAATGGTCTCCTTAACAAAGACTTCCTTTCGATCCATGTTGGTTAAATCAAACACAGTTTCTAATGAATCACATTCACTTACTTGAAGCTCTTCTAAGTTGGATAGTGCTTGCACCAAATTTGAAGGTAGAAGCACATTGGATAAAAAATCACATTTCTGCACTACAAGGCTTTTCAAGTTGCCATACGCTTCTGGCTGAACACGGTTGTGCCACAATTCTCTTAACTCAGCAAACTGAGACAGCTCTAAATGTTCAAAACTATGGAATGCCACCTGCAAAAATTGAGGTGCAGGGTCAGTAGAAAGAAATAAAGGCATAAATAAAGAAAACTAAACATAAGGCTTTTTTAAATGTTTGTCCGTAAAATTTTGCCACTGTAAGTCAGAAAAAGTTTGTAATTATATGTAGAGAATGATCTTCTTCCTCTTGTCTATCAGAAATTTTCTAGTCAAATTCAAAACGTACCATATCCACAAACATCTTGTTTACTGTTCTGTTTATGTCACCTTCCCAATACATCTTTTCATCTTCTTTCTTTGACAGTATCCCATGAAGCATTGGGGTGCTTGTGTCTCCATCAGAGAAGATCCTCATTCTTGGGCATTGCTTAACAACAACATTCACCAACAATGGAAGGTTCAGCACACAATTACTAGAGCAAAACCTTTTGATCATTGGCAGACACTCAAGCTCCAAAATTTGTAAGCTGCTGAATGCAATTTCATCTTCAGACCCCTCCTTCTCTTCTGCCGCCACAATTTGCTCAAGTGAATTGCAGTTCATTATTTTCATTAGTCTTAATTTGACCAAACTTCTTGCGGTTGATGAGGTAATCAAGTGAATCAATCCATTGCAATTTTCCACCTCCAAATATGTCAACTGACTAAAAGTTACGGAGGAAGGCACCAAGTGTTTCAATTTGGAACATTGATCCACATATAAGGTTTCAAGTACCTCAAGAACTGGGTCTAATTGAAATCCTTCTTTACATATATGCTGGAGATCATGCAATTCATTGAGTGACAATGCTTTAAGTCGCGTTCTGATCTTAAATTTTTTTCTGTCATCTGTCGTTATTTCTTCTTGGAATATCTCCTTGAAGGAACTATATTCAACTCGTAGCCAATCGAGACTGATGTTTTGGAGAAACCAATAGGGAAAAGTAGTGTTGACATCTTCAAAACTTGTCAAAGTAAGATATTTGAGTTTGGTGAAGTGTTTCTCTGAAAGTTTCCCCTGTAATATCATGCTTGCATCCTCACTATTTATGGCCAACCTCTCCAAGTTGCAAATCACCTGTATACAATATAGGTAAAAAGCGTTGATCAAATATTTTGTCCAGAGCAACATAAACAGATACGGTAGTGAGGAATAACACGCATAATTAAACCTGATTATGTTTTTGAATTAAAAAATGATTGCTAAACAATGCATGCATTAAGGTATTTATTATTTCTAAATAAATTAAGATTTTTTTATAATCATTCCTATACCTCTTCAAGAGTGAAGAGAGGCTGCTGCATTGAGATTTGAAGTTTATGATAAAAAACAGATATAAGAGTGAGGTAGTAAACAAGTGATGAACAGTATGCATAATCAAATCTAATTAATTTTTTGGAAATGAAAAATTATTATGAAACAGTGCATGCATTGAGATATTTATGGTGCCTAGATAAATTAAGACATTTTTTTATGTTCATTCCTATACCTCTTCAAGTGTGAAAAGAGGTTGCTGTGTTGAAATTTGTAGTTTACTATCAAAAACTCTGTCTGGTCCACCTGTACTTTGAGTCTTGAAGAGCTTCAACTTCCAACAAGCGTGGACATCCAATTCCCTTAATAATGGACATAGTATACTATATTTTCCAGGAAAAAGTCCCTCAAGTTCAGATAACAGCGAAAGTACCAAAGAGGTCAAGTGATTAAATTCAAATTTGACTGGACCATACATGGGGCCTTCTTTGTCTGAAATAATTCGTTTCATTCTCTCTGCATATATTATGGTAACATCTTCAAGTTGAGTAGCTTGCATTGCAATGTAGAATGGAAAAAGGTATTCCAAGTTTTCACAGTCTTCAACCCACACAAGTTGCAGGTTGTGGAAACAAAGGCTTTCTTGAGCATCTTTACTCCAAATCTGTTTCAGCTTTGGCAAGTGAAGCAGATGGAGTTTCTTCAATTGTGAGACTTGTTGTGTCGTTGTTTCCTCTTCATTACGGATTTCTTTGGCAGTTAATTCGAATATCTTTTCCACTGAACCACAATCGGTGACCTTCAATGTCTCAAGGCTTCCAAAAGTCCCCTGCATATCAGATGGGAAAATTTTCGCAAGTTTCCCACAATTGCTTACCTCCAAACTCTTTAACCTATCAAATTGAAAGTGCCATACTTTCTTCAAGCTTTCCATGTCTTTAACTGCCATCGTCTCCAATTTTGTGAACCTGACCTGTGATACAAAGCACGATTTACAAATTCAAAAGAACCAACATTATATCTGAATGATATTGAACGGAACCACACAAGGGCAAATGTTTGATGTTATCTACTTCGCATTTATTTCAACTCTAATCGTAATACCTCTTGTGAAATAATGCCGCTCGGAGCAATGATCTCCTCCATCATCTCACATTTGCTTATTTCAAGGTGTTTAAGTTTTAAAAGACTTCCAATCACAGAAGATGAGAATAGATACTTGAGGCCTCTGCAATCCTCAACTATCAAGTTAGCCAAATTGTGAACCCAATTCACTGCAGAAAGGTAATCATCATCCCAAATTTTTTCCATTTTGATTGAACTCAACTTCAGGGTCTCCAAACTAGAAAAACGAACCTGTGAAAAAAAAAAATAATTTATTTTCAACTTGGTAAATATGAAAAAAGGAAAAATGACCAAAAAAAACTAAAAACTACTAAATTTCAAATAAGAAATGTTAACAAAAATTTATTTTTATTTACAAATTTAATATTGTCAGCATCAAATAAAGTGTTGTTACCAAATTTGATTTGAAATTTCGTAATTTTCAACTTTTTTTATTTTTTTTCTATGAAAAAAATGGAAAGATGACCATTTATCCAAACTAAGACATTGATAATTTGGTATCGTGAATCTAATAAATTATAAATAAGTCTAAGAGAGTTTGAGTATCATTTTTATGACTTGTAATATTTCTAATTTGTCCATCTTAACCGTACCTTTAGCTGTTGATTGGAAGACCAATCGGACTGTTATCACCAGTACCACATTACAAGTTATTAATATTTCAATAATATTTTATTAAAATACTTTTATTTGAATATATTTCTCTATAATAATTTTCAAGTCTACATCTGCTATTTAAAGATAAAACTTTGTAGTTCATCACCCAACCTATTTTTTTTTCATATTCAAATTTTACAAATTCATTTAAAACTTTTATCCCCTATTCTACAAATTATTTCTTTAAAATTTATGACTGTTTGCTATTTCTACCGCATAAATTTCTTGCAAAATCTTTAAAATGTGTACTTTTATAGGTTTTTCCAATGTTGCAAGTTGACTGTTTGGAATTGAAAAATTTGCACTCTGTAGAAATTAATTTTAAAATGCGGTATAATATAAATATGTTTTATAAGTAAATGCATTTTTACAAAATTACTCTATAAGTCGTTTATTATAAGAAACAACTACTAAAATTACACAGTTTAAAATGTTAATTAAATTTAGTTAAAAACAAGAAATGTGTAAGATATATGCATATTTTTCTAATTACATCTTTATTTGTAAAGAATATATATGAGAGATAATTAGTGAAAGTTTTTTACAATAAGCGGCATACATTTAATAAGGGTAAAAGTGAAAAGACCAATTTAAAATTTTAGACAAAATAATTTGTTTTTATATTTAAAAATAATATTATGAAAGAAATTGTTTTTTATAGAAAGGGGGCGGAGGGAGTATCATTTAAACAAGTAGGAAAAGGATTTGTTGAACAAGCTTCAGATTCAGATCATGCATGTCGGCCAAGACAACGCTTGAGTATTAGTTTTTTTTTTGGGTCAAAGAGTATTAGTTTATTACTGTGACACTAATTAAAACATTATAAATCTAAATTAAATAGCCAAACATATTAAGAAGCTTTCTTTGAAAATAAAAATAAAAAATGTAAACAGCCAAAGAATTGTAATTTAAAGATATAAATTGCAGAAAAAGAAGCGGCCAAATTAAGACATAAGTTGTAAATAATGTATTGCTTGTAAATAACGGAGATGGACTTGTAAATTGTTACAGGAAAATATTATTAAAATAATCAAATTTATTTCATAAAAGATATAATCATAGTTAAGTTAATAATTATTAAAATGTTGATAATAATTTTTTAATGCCTCAGTGCCTCACTAGTTCTAGACTTCTAGTACTAACAAACTGGTCACCCGTCAATGGTTTTAGAAGAAACATGCAATAAAACAAATTTGTGGGGCAAAATTTTGGTTTTCTCAAAAAATATGCACAATAAAATTTTGTGAGCATCACAACAGATGTTGATAAATTCAATGAAACGGTGAGTAATTTATATGATTAAAAATTTATATACATTGCACCTCATTAGTCATTTTATAAAATATAGTTTATCCAAAAAATATCAATAATCTGACATTCTACTTTTAGATTTATGTACACACACATTCAAGTTCGTTTCAAAATTACCATGCATGATTATTGTGATAGTACTCACTTATGATTCAGTCATTTAATTTTTAAATTGCAAATAAGAGAATTATAAAACAAATAAAAAAAAAACATACCTTAATGCCATCAAACAATGATGTCGCTGTCACAAAAGATGTCAAGTCGTTTGAGCAGAAATTATGAATGACTGGTAAATGACAGAGACTCAAAGAGTGTAGTGAATGAAGCTCAATCTTGTTATCACTAGTTATTCCACCATCATCATTCTCCTCTTCATTGAACTACATTTCGAAACCTGGAGCTCAATGAGGTGAGAGAGTGCTTTCACCATTATAACAGAGAAGAGAAATGTTAGTTTATCACAACTTTGAACTTTGATGACTGTTACTTTGCCAAAGGAATTAACAGGAAGTGGGCCATGACATATCTTCATTAAGTTTTTTAGATTGTGACCTATCAACGTCTCCAATTCTGGAAATAAAACATGAGTTTCATCCCTCTTTGTTGTGTTGATAATATGTTGAAGTTGGCCATTATTTTGGATATGGAGATGCTTTAGTAGCGGAAATCCTTCACCATTCAAATTAAAAAGCACATCCGAAATTCCTTTGACTTCATCTAAGTACAAATCTTCTGCTCGTTTAATCAATGATTTAATTCCATGTTCTAAATGAATGCTAGTGTCAAGCTTTAGCTTTATCAACCTTGAGATCCTTTTGTTGCTTGACCATTCCCATTTATCTCCAATGACAACCTTATATCTTTCTAACTTGTTAAACATCATGTCCCTCGACAACATCCAAAATTCACGAACTTGAATTTCTAAAGCAGTCAGACTTGTCAAACACCTAAGCTCAACAAGACTAGCACTTTTTTGTTTAGTTGAACTTTCCTCCTCCCACTTAATTGAGGCGTTGCCCATATAGAGTTCCTCTATTTTAGTCAAATTGGACAAAATATTGGGTGGGATAGTCTTAATTATAGAATTGCTCAGATCCAACATTCTCAGACGAGACAGCTGTTGTACTTCGCTCGGCAACTCCTCTATGAATGATTTAATGAGACTAAGAACTTCTAGATTTATTAAATCACCTATTCCGGCCATATGTTTTAGAGTGCAATCATCCAAACATAATGTTTTAAGTTTGGTCAAGGAACCAAGAGATTTAGGTAATGAAGACATCACCAAGCCTGTCAAATCTAATGTTTCAAGGTTTCTCATTCCCTCAAAAAAGGATTCTGGAATTTCCAGAGTGCAATTATCAGGGTATTGTAAGTGAAAAAACTTCAAATTAGGGCACTCTAATTTTTGAGGAAGCTCTTGGATAAAAAAATTTTCTAAGATTATTTGAGTACACCTTTCAAGAAATCCCCTGCTTGGCCAATCTTGCATCCTGCCATTTCTCAGCACAAAAACATATTCATTCTTACGAGCAATTGAAACAGCTACTTCGCTAACAAGGTCATGCATTTTAATCACATTGCTCTCACTTGCATCATCCTCAATTAACAAACAAGATGCCTTCAAGTGATCAATTATTTTATATAGTTCGTTTCTTGCCTCTTCAAGGGTATCTATGTACTTCAAAATACCCAAACCAATTACATATTTCAACAAGTCACGGACGACCATGGGTCGTCCATGTACACCACAAAGCAAGAATACTTTCTTCATTTGATCATCTTCCAATCGATTGTAAGTAAATTCAAAGGCTGAAAAAACAGTCCCATACATGTCCCCATTATCAACTCTCTTTAAGTTGTTCAAGGCAGCTTTCCAATAATGAATATTCTTATTATGTTTTAATGACTTTGCAATTGAGACTATCATAACAGGCAGACCTGCACATCTTTCAACCACTTGGGTGGCTATCTTTTGCAAATGTGCATCTTTAATAGCATCACCAACTATATCTTCAAACAAACTCCTTGATTCTGCATTATTCAATTCCTCAACAACAAAGTTCTTTTGAGTCTCATTCTTTTGTAAAATATCTAAACGTCTAGAAGTGAACAATAATTTGCAACCCTGATAAGTTTCATTCTTCTGTGGCATATCTAAACGTTTAGAAGTCAATGAAAATTTTCCACCCTTAAGATCTTGCTCAGGAGGAATTCCCAGCTTGTCCAAATCAATTTCCTCCCACAAGTCATCTAGTATGATAAGGATATTTTTCTCCAATTTTATCCTTGCACATAGGCGGTCAGCTCTTCCAATGGAGGTCTTCTCATCCAAGTGGAAGCCTAATTGATATGCAATCTCATCTTGAACTCTTTCAACATCCAAAGTTTGGGATACAGTTGCCATAGCCACCACATCAAACAGCCTGTCATCCTTAACATGTTTGGCAACTTCTTTAGCTAGAGTGGTCTTCCCCACTCCACCCCACCCATAAATTCCAACTTTGCTTACTTTTGGATCGATTAGAGCCAAAATAACCTGCTCCTTCACTGAGTTTCTTGAGTCAAGCTTTTCATTGCCTGGAGTAGCAAAAATTAAGCTTCCTTTGCCAGGAGCAGGAACATGCCCAATTCCACGATCAAACGTCCCCTTTTCCTTCAGTTCAGCAATGGTGAATGTCATTTTCTTTGCTTTTCTACCAACTTGATGTCGTGATATCAAATTAGGAAAAGACAATTTCCAACACCGTACACTAGTATGAGTTTGATCTTCACGAAGCTTCTCGACTTCTTTCAAGGTCTCATCAACTCTTTCTTGCCAACTTACTACATCAACTTCAATCTCTTTTCCATTCCTTCTTTCTTCGTCAACACGATGCTCTATGCGAAGTTTTGTTGACCTCAACTCCTCAATTTTATCCTCCAGCTCCTTGTAATTTCCTTTGTAAGATAATAAATATCCCACTTGCCTACCAATGGGTATCACAGTTAACTCTGCTATTTTTCCAGCAATAGCAGTGAGAACTTCCATTCTTTTCTTCCTGAATAAAATGTTAAGAAATTTAGTGCTAAAATAAATAGAAGTCACGAGTATCCCACCCCCTTAAATAAAATAGGGGCGCATACCCAAACGACGCACATCTACGTATACAATTGCTCGACTTTAACTAATAAAACGCAGTATGATCAGTAGTATTTATGTCTCTGCTTCCATCTCTTCTTGCTCAACGTTTCCAACTTGCTTTGAATTGTATACATGATCGGCCCAGAAAAACAACAAAGAAAGGCATCATGGGCTTTTCTTTTCCTCCTTGTAATTAGAGAAAAAGACCAATAGCGAGTGATATTTATGGTAGAGGACCATAAAAATTAAAATTGTTTATAAGGACCAAATATTGAAACATAAATTTAAAAATATCACATTGTCCCTATCCAAACCTCCTACGTTTTCTCCTATATTCCCTCCTATAATTTATTTTTAACCTAATGCGAATCAACAAATTTTACTAAATTAAACCTGATTTCTCTCAAAGTTTTCAACCTACGTTAAATCAATTTAAAAAAATATGCAAACATTGTTTATTTATGTAAAAATTAAATTTTTATTTTCCTTATAAAAATTAATTTATTTTTAAAATTGAAAACAAAAATGATATAATTTTATTAAAATTTAGATTATTATATAATTTATTATATACATGGTTTTAAAAAATCCAAAGAAAATTTTTATTACTTATAATTTTTATTTTATAAGAGATTTATATCAGATTTTAAAATAAAAAATACATTTAGTGTTAAGAAATTTAATGAAATCATTTTCTTTAAATTTTTAAATTTATTTATATAATAAATTATACAATAATCTAAATTTTAATAAAATTATATAACTTTTATTTTCAATGAAAGTCTGTGATGGTTTTATAAAGAAAATTTTAACTTTTGATAAAGAAAATAGAACCTTAATTTTTACATGATTGAACGATGTTTGAGTTTTTTTTTAATTGATTTTTATGTAAGTTGTAAATTTTGAGAGAAACCATGTTTAATTTAGTGAAATTTATTAATTCACATTTGTTTTGAAATAAAATACAGGACAAAATATAGGAGAAAATGTAGGAGGCTTGAATAGAACTAATGTAGTATTTTTAAATTTATATTTGAATATTTGGTCCTTTTAAATAATTTTAATTTTTATGGTCCTCTCCCTTAAATATCTTTCCCTATTGGTCCTTCTCTCTAATTCTCCCTTTTTTTTTGGTCTCCAATGAATGAGTAGAGCTGGTAATATAGGTTAAACCCAAGAGTCCAACCTATCAATCAGCCTTAAACAAATCTTTTGAACCCGCACAGCCAGGTCCGCAACCCGCGAGCTGACCTCCAATTTTTTTTATTTTTAAAAATTTTTAAAATTATTATAACTATATTATTATATATTATATCCTATCTAAAAAAATACCTATATAATTTATTTGATACTTTAAATTAAATATTTTAACAAAAAATAAAGGTATCTTTATATTTTTTTGGATATTGAATAAAAAAATATTAAAGGATAAAAAAAATTTTAAAAAAAAAAAGTAAAATAATTGTTGGCGGGTTTGCGGGCCAACCCACCTTATTCAGCCAACTCGCCTTCAAACAACACTTTCTAACCTAATTCATATGAGTCCAACCTATCACAGATCAACCCGCAACCCGCGGGTTGACTCGTATTACCTCCCTTTTTTAGATAGCAGAAAACATGGACATGCAAGAAAGAAATGGAACCAGAAGTGTACTATCAGCCCACACTGCTTTTGGGCCAAAATATTAGCCCACACTGAATTTGTCAAACATTCGAAGGGGCTTAAACCCCCAAGAACATATGATATGCTGCTTCAATAAGGCCTAAACAATTGACCCAAAATAAAATTAGGATCGAGGTGGGAAAAAAGGGCAACACAAAGTTTGCTGGGAGGTTCGTAGTGGGCCAGGGGTTGCCAAGTGTGGATTGGACTCAACTTTTGCCACCCCAAACCTACGAACCTGCCCTTTTTTAAAATTCTCTTACATTTTAAAATATTCTATTTTAATTTTAAAAATTAAATTATAACTTTTTATAGGCTAAATTTAAGTTGTTCTTTCCAGGAAGCTATGTAGTTAAACTAACTCCAAAACTTATAAGTATAAACATATAATCTATTTTATATATTTATTCTTTTGTCATCACAATTTTACATAATTATAATATTAATATAAACATGATAAATCAGTAAAGAAAATGAGAAATCAAAGATATAGTTGCTAACATAAAATTGGACTATATTCAAATTAATTACAAGATAGGAAATTTTTTTATAAAATGTAAAATAAAATTTTATTTAAATAAAAAATGAAGCCAATCCATGGGTTGCCGAGGTAGATTAAAAAAGTGTACGTTAAAACAGGCTCCTGTTTTGCAAACATAAACCTGTATCTTTAGCTAGTTGGCAGATTAGACCCGATGACCCAACTCATATTACCATATTTAGTTAGGCCTAAATTTAATCCTTCCGTCTCTCATAGTCATATTTACTCTATGTCTAGTATGGGAGAAATGTGAGAGGAGAAAAAATTTTAACGACTTTGATTTAAAAAATTAGAGAAATAAGATTATAAAATTTTAATAAAGAAAAGATATAAAATAAAAGTGTAAGAGCAATTAATTAAAAACTTTTCACCATACTTCAACTCATACATGAATAGTCTAAATGAATATATTATATTGTAACTTACGACCCAGTGAGAAACTCCATAACCACAAAGACTACAGCCGAAGGAGATGACTTGCTATAAAGATAATAAGAAGTGACATCTATATCTATAGTAACAACAACAATAAAAGCAATACTAAGGGAAATAATAAAAAGGAAGTATATATTTATAAAAAAAACTAATTACAAGTTTGTATAATTTCACAAGTTACAAAGTAACCGTTTTTTTTCCTTTTTATCATGTTATTAGAATTTCATCTTATTTTAATCATGTCCTTGGAGTTTTTTTATTTTCCTTTTCATCATGTCCTCATAGTAGATTAAAAACACTACATGTAAAACTATAAGATTATGGTAAAAAGAAACTACAAAAATCTTATTAATATAAAATAAAACTATGAATACTTGATAAACAAAAATCAAAGGGATCTGATTAAGAGTAATTAATTATCACATACGCATACCTTACCCAAAGTGGATGAGAGGCGAGCTGTGGTTGTCCTTTCTAGCTTGAGGTCTAAGGAAGTTCTGTAATCGAGAAGAAACAGATTAAGTTGTTTCAATTCATAGCATTTATTATTAATTATTTTAGTTATTTTATCTAAAAACTTATAACTATCAAGAGGCAGAATTTACCAGCAACACTATTGATCAGCACAGCTTTCAGATCCCTTGAATATGAAGTAGACACTTCCAAAGTCTCAAAGGCAAAGACTCTGTCTGTCTTCTTTTTTTTTTTTTTTTTTTGAGACTTGTATGCGAGATTGATCACAATGCACAAGAACAGGCTTTGTCTTTTTTTTTTTTTTTGGGGAGAAAAAACAATTTTATATGTGAACTTAAGAGGAAGAAAAAAGACAACCTTTGAAGGGGATTTTTTTTTTCCAAATATTTTTAGGCAGATGATTGACAAGAAAACAACAAAGCTGACGCAGGAAAATGATTTTTTTTTTTTTTTTGAAAAGTAGCTTGTATGTGGAAAACAGCGAAATAAGTTTGATCTGAAAGCTGGGAAGAGGAAGGAGTGAATAGATATATGGAAGATACAACACAAGAATTAGAAGTCAGGACTTTTTAGGAAATGAATGTTTGGTTTTGAATGATTTCTTCAGAAACTTGAAGGAAAGAGTAGAAGAACAGGTTTGAAAAACAGAGAGTGCTGGTAAAAGGTTTGAGAAATGGGAAGCAATCAATATCAGATTGTCCACGACAAGAAGAAGACGCTTCCAAAGACACAAAAGTTTTTTTTTTTTTTTTGGGTTCTCTTTTGAGATTTTTACACAGGATCGAACACAATGAAAAGCAGCAGACTTGTTATAATATAATGCAGAAGATGAACAGCAAGGGAAAAAAAATTCAAACGATTTTTTTAAAAAAATTTTATGGGTATATGATTGACAAGAAAACAAATTTGATGCAGAAAACAGACCTTTTTTTTTGGGTTTTTGAAAAATAACTTCTATGTGGACGGCAAGGAAACAAGTTTGACTTGAAAAATGAAACAAGGTCTGGCAGGGAAAAGAAAACAGAGAAAGAAAGTTGGGAACAAGGAGTGAACAGATATGACAGAGACAAGGAAATGATTTGGAATGATTTGTTTCTGAAACTTGCAAGGAAACAGAGGAAGAAATTTGAAGAACAGAGAATGCTGAAAGTTTAAGAAGCAGGAGGCAATGAATATGAGATCTCAGTGTAACAATGGCAGTAGTAAGATGTGGAAGAAGATGATCGGTAAGACAGACACATAAAAGAAAGACTAATGCTTGCCTGCACATAAAGGAAAGGACCTTATAAATTATTTTGGGGACTCAACTTTATACCTTGCTTCTTGTCTAGTCCTACAAATTATTCTTGAAAAAGAACAGTAAAGAACCTTAATTACCTCCATGAAATTTGATTTAAAAAATATTTGAATATGAATATGAAAAATACATTGATTATCAAAAAATCAATAAGATCAAGATACAAGTGTTCAATTTGATTCTTTAATTATATAAAGTGTCTTTTCAAACTTTTAATCTGAATACTGTTAGTTTCATTAGGTGATATAATATTTTTCATGCATCACTTATGCATGAGTGTATTATACGGTTACTGCCTCTGTATGTATTGGTCATTTCCTAAAACAAACATGTAATTTTATACCACTTTCGATCCTTAATATAAGACCTAATTGACTAATTTGAAAATATTAAAAGAATTAGTTAAATTAGTTATTTGTTATAAATAAGTGTTATCTAGAATATCCTTGCTAATCATGTGTATTAGCTAGCATTACCATTTAATAAAACATTTAACA